TATGCACTGTGTAGCTGCTGAGGCACAATCCCTGAGGTCTAAGGCTGCCGTGAGCAGAGGCTGCCAGCGCCGTGCGGGATATGCAGTGTTAGCGTCTTAATACGGCACTCACGTGCTTACAGATCTCCTTCAGGGACTTACCGTGGCAGACAGTTGAGACACAGTGACTCCTTAAAACTTCATAATACGCATTTTATTTACTATTTCTGTCTTACCTGTGTGACAGCTTTGCTTTAGGTTTGTTGTCCAAGGAACACTAGGAAGCAAGGTCTGGAGACAGTGTCTGACATCCAACTCTGAGTCACGTTCTGTGTCATGCAGTAAATCTTTCTGGGTTGCGAATTCAGGGCCCAAAGTCATGGTTTTCAGCGAGTGTGTAAATAGGAATCATAGGCGTTGTTGTTTTGTTTGTTTGTTTTGTAGTGGAACCGGGGATTGAACTCAGACCCTTGCGCTTGCCAGGCAAACACTTACTCTATTGAGCTATCTCCCTGGCCCCCAAGTATGATTTCTTAAATTGTAGTTTAAGAAAAAACTCTAGAATTACAGAAAAGTTGCAAAAATAGTATCAAGTTCCTCTGTGTTTGACCAGCTCCCCTGAATGTTACCATATAATCATTGTACAATTATTGAATTAACAATGGAATAGTACACATATTACTTTACATATGTTACTCCAGTTTAATTATTTTTCTACCAGAGTTCTTTTTTCCAGAGTCTCTTACTGAATTTAGTTGTCAGGTCTCCTCTAGCCGGTGGCAGTTTTCTTTGTTCTTTCATGACTTTGACAGTTTGGAAGAATATTGGTCATAGACTGCTTCTCCGCGTGGAGGTGGTATTTTCCATACCCGGGTTAAGCTCATGTGTTTTTGACAAGAGTGCCTTCAGTGTACTTGTGGGTGCACCATAGCGGGGGCCACAGTGCTGCTGTGTCTTCTTACTCGTATTTCATCACTTCTTCAAGACGTCAGATGGCTTTGTTACAGAATCACTATTGTTTTTTGCTGAGGATGTGGGTCACTCATAGAGCACTTGTTTAACATGTTATGAGGCCCTAAATTCACTATCCAGCACCACACCACACACAAAAAGGTTCTTTTCTTTTTACATTAATTGATAAATTACTACTAGGGAAGCTGCCTTAAAACTTTGTAAAGAGCCTCAAATAAGATACTTAACTTGTGAGTCTTTTATTCCCATCTTCTAATTGGGTTATTTTAAGGAAATGTCATGTAGTATGTAGCGTAATTTCTAAACTTTCAGTAAATGTTAGGTGTTGTAATTTTAGCATTAATGTCTGCTCCTTCTGCCTCGTGATCACTATTAAGTCCAACTTAGCATGCTGGGCCACTGATACTTAAAGTGTTCCTTTGCCAGCTGTCACAGTTTTACTATTATTCCCAGTAAGAAAGGTGTTTTGCCATGTAGTATACAGATACATGTCACTTACTGTTTCATGAGAAGTGTATATATTTTTACATGGAGTCTGCTCTTTATATTCTATTCTTTTATTTAAAAAATAAAAATCTTCATAACTCACTAAGGTGATTTCATGGTTCCCTAAGTTGATTTCACAACTCGTTAACAACTACGCACCACCCTGTATCTGGAACCCCGAGGCTGTGTGGGCCGTGCTTCCCTGCAGCGTGGTGCAGGCGCACAGACGTGGTGGTGGCCATCGCATCCTGGCCGGAAGGCGAGAGGGCTGTTGAGCGCAGCGTTCTTCATCGATGGAGAGTTTTTGTGTTTTATGGTTACTGAGTCCAGTACAGTATTTGGCATATAGATACTCTCTAAATATTATATTCGTATAGGACAAACAAAGGATCTGATAGCTTTTGCATGCGACTTGTAGCGTGCTCGAGGCAGGCCTGTCACTCCTGTCGTGTCTCACAGCAGGGTGCTACAAGCTGTCTCCTTCATGATTGTACAATTTCAAACAGCAGTGGTACAAACCACACGGTAGGACAGTAGTGCGTGTCCTGCTGTGGCACAGTCTAGTGCAAATGTGTTAAAATTGAACAGGCAAAAGTAACTGTGCTACTGCCATACCTAGAGACTAATGAGGTGGCCGGTGCCAATGGAAAGTGATTAAAGAGGGTTCAAAAGGAAGGCAGAAAGAAACAAAGATTCGTAAAATAAATTGGAATTGTATCTGAAGCTTCTCTTTTTTCCTTCACCAAATGCATGAGCCTCTGAGTTCTACCAGACTTTTAAGGAGCAGATGATACTCAAACTGTTTCAGAGTAAAGAAAAAAAACGTGGAGTGTCATAGTGTATTCCACAAGGCTGGGGTAACTTTGCTGGCCGAACAAAGGGGAGCACACCCAAAAAGGATATTTGTGTTCAGTCTTACAGAAAAATGGTCTTATAAACTCTAGTACTTAGGACTTAAAAGTGAAAGCTCTATTTTAGAAAACATCCACGATAAATGATGAGCCAGACCAGCATGACCTTAAGGTTTGATCAGGAATTATAAACAGCTAATAAATGTGCAAAGCTCCTACTAGTTACAGAAATACAAGTTAAAGTGTCTTTGAGATACCATTTTTACCCAAAAGATTGACAAAATAAATTGGCATTGTTAAAGAATACGAAAATGATGAAATGAAAATCGTCACTCAAAGCATGTGGATAGGCAGCGTAATCCAAGCATTTGGGAGAGGGAGCCAGATTTATTACCTGTAAGTTTAAAATGCGACTATCAAATGAGTACCAGTTGCTTTAGAAGAATCTATTCTAGTGACACATGTTTGGTGCACAAGGATACATTGAATGAATATTTGTTGCAGCAGTGTTTGTAAAAATTCGGAGTGATACAGTCATCCCTGAGTAGCTGAATGTACTGTGGTACGAACTTGTTATGGAATGCTTTATAACATTAAAAAGAATAAGATTACTTCCTGTGCCTGTCATGGATAGAGCCCCGAAATACATTATTTACAGAAAAGGTTCACAGGACTGGGGAGATAGCTCAGTGGTCTAAGCACCTGTCTGTAAGCGTAAGTTTCTGATTTGATCCCCAGTACTGTGTGCTGTGCGGGGCCCAGAACTGGGCATTGGCGCACACTTACAATCCCAGTGCTGGGAGGCTGAGACGGGAGGATCAGTACAGGCCCGAGCTGTGTAGTGAGACAGAGAAGTTCATAATTGTACTCGTGGTAATACCCTAGCTTATTAAGTATACATCAGCTAATAAAATATGAGCTATACCCAGAACTCGGTCATGAGTCACTTGGGGGTAAGTGGTGTGTACAGAGATGAACTGGAAACCCAGACTGTGGCGCAGCTAGACTTTGGAGGAACTTGAGGCCCACGCTGAGGATCGGGGTCTCTTCTGCTAGGCAGTGCAGTTCTACTTGTTTTCCTGAGAAACATCCAAAAGTGATGTCATGTTGGATTGAAAAATACATATTTTTTATTAGTGCTTATTTCACAAAATTCTGGTTTTCAGTGTATATATTTTGATCATGTTACTCCTCTGCTAGCTGTTTTTATCCATCTCCCTCTTATTCCTTTCTTCTTGTCTAACCTTCTCCTGTTTTTATACCATTGTTTCTAGGTTGTACATATTAAGAAGAACATGTGACACTTTTCTTTCTGAGTCTGGTTTATTTTGCTTAAAATGATCTAGAGTTCTTTCCATTTTCCTACATGTGGCAAAATATCATTCTTTACGGCTCAGTAATACCTGCCCCTTCTCCTTTCTCCTCTCCCCATATGTGACATTTTAAAATTCATCTGCTGATAGGCAGGTACTCCAGTGGCGTGTTGTGGCTGTTGCGAATCATGCTACAGTAAGCATGGTTATGCTGCTTTCCCTGGAATAGACTGTCTTCAGTATACACCCAGGAGTGGCGTAGCTGGGTCAGTGGCGGCTCTACCTGTAGCGTTTTGAGGGACCTCTGTGCTGATGCGTAGAGGCTGTGGGAATTCACGTCTCTACCGGCAGTGTAGAGGGCCGTCTTCTGCTGTGTCCTTGCCTGCTCGTACTTTCTCAGATTCTTGGTGGTGGCCGTCTGGCTGGGATCCGATGGAATCTCAGTGTGCTTTTGATGTGCAGTCCCTGATGATGAAAGATGCCAGACGTATTTTTAAATACGTATTGGCCATGTGTACTTCTTTGGAGAAATGTCTGTGCTGTTCATTTGCCCATGTATTAATTGGGTTACTCTACTTTTTGAACTCTATATTCTAGATATTACTCCCTCAGAAGAGTAGCTGGCAAAATTTCTCTCCTGTTTGGTAGGTGCTGTCTTCACTGCTAATTATTTTCCTTATTGTACGGAAACGTTTTAAATAGATGTAGTTGCAGTTGCTGAGTTTTGCTATGATTTCCTGTGCTTCTGGAGTCCTAATAAAAAGGCCTTTGTTTGTGCCTACAGATTCAAGTATTTCCTGTGTTTTCTTTAGAAATTTCAAGGTTTTAGCTTTATTACCATGTCTTTGATCTTTTTTCAAAAAGTGTATTTAGTACAGGGTCTACAGGGTCTCACTACATAGATGAGACTGGTAGTGATCCTCCTGTTTTCAGCCTCCCAAGCACTGGGATTACAGGTGCGCCACCATGCCCAGTCTCAGTGGCCACCTCAGTGCGCCCGGGGGTGGGGACCGGCATGTCACGTGGTGCTGGGGATTGAACCTGGTTCCTCTGTCTGCCTAAACAGGAGCTTTGCTGAGATATCTGGCCAGCCCTTTTGGTCCATTTTTGAGTTGATTTCTTACAAGGTGAAAGATAAAGGATCTAAGTTGAAACATAAAAGTACTCAGTTTCATAGCACTATTTGTTCCAGAGGTTGTCTGTTCACTAGTGCATGCTTGTGGCTCCTCTGTCAAGAATCAGGTGGCCGAAGTTGCGTGCTTATTTCTGCATTCTTTATGTCTTCCATTGGTCTCAGTGTCTACTTTTGTGTGAGTACCATGCTGTTTTTGTTACTATAGTTTTGTAGAATAATTTGAAATTGGGTGTTGTGATGCCTTCAGTCATCTTCTTTGTGCTTGGTATTGCTTTGGCTATTAGGATTGTTTCTAGTTTGTGAAGAATTTCATTCTTATTTTGATGGGAATTGCATTGAATCTGTAGATATCTTTTGGTCATATGGCCATTGTAACAATTCTGCCAATCTATGAATGTGAGAGACTTTTCATCTTCTCGTGTGTTCTTCAGTTGGATTGATCAGTGTTCCCTTACTTCCCTATAAAAACCATTTACCTTCTGGTTTGGGGTGATATGCTGATGTTGGAGGGAGCTCTCACGAGCCAGTCCCTTTCCAAGAGCCCGGCAGCTGCCAGCCAAGTCCCAGCATGTGGCCCTTTGGGATGTTGGAGGTCCTGCTTGATTTCTGTCGGACTCCCCGTCGGGTCCTCTCCCGAGAGAACCTTAGGAATATTCTGTACAGAATATCCTCCCAGGGAGTTTTATGTCTCAGAAAATAGTATAATTGAACCTTTTGGTAACCTTATATCACCTCAATAATTGTTCTGCAGAACTTAAAGTAAATTGAATAACTTGAATTAGAATTAAGTAATAGGAAAATATGTAAGTTCTTTATATCATACTTGGAAAATTGTATTAGTGTATGAATAAAAACAATCATAATGCTATCTAGAAAAATACAAGATCAAAGAATGGTAGAATGAATCTACAAGGTTAAAATAAGTTCTAACAGATAATATTGAAACTAAAAACAATTTTGGGTGGATTAACAGCTCTGCAACATGAAGCACACTCTCCTGAAGCCACTGTCTTTCTTAGCTCTGTACTGTGCTGGTGCTCGGGAAAAGCAAGCAGTTTGCCCCCGAGCTGGCCTCTTCTCGCTGCAGGGAGGAAGGGGACTCCTGCGGCTGCAGCGCCAGTGCTGGCTCTCCGTTTTCCTCAATCTGTAGCTCCTCCAGCGGTGGGCAGCCTGGCCCAGTCATCCTCCCTGTGTGGACTCGCGCGGTCTCTACCTCTACGAGTAGCAGGTCTGCCCTGGTGGCCGCCATCCCCTGCACTCGTGGGCGCTCACCCCGGGCTCTGACGCTGGGTGCGGCACCCTCCCGGCCCGCCCTGGCTGGAAGGACCCTGGATACCAGGCCCGGCCGGCCGTGGGTGTCCTCGTTTCCCTAGGCTCTGGCCCCAGGCCTCGTGCCTTAGGCGCCCTTCATCTTCCCGCTGTACACCAGCAGGTGGTGCCAGGTGCCCTTCCAGGGGCGCCTTTCCTCCCCGGGCGGTCCCAGCTCTGCCCACCCCACAGGGCCCCCCAGGCAGGCGCATGTCTTATCCCGCCCCATCTGTGCCATGAACTCATTTTTCAAGGAGTACATAAAAGGAGGAAGAGAGGGGAGTAAAAGGGAACCAGGAGAGGTAATGTACTTAAAAAAAGACAGCATTTGAGTCATTAGCCATTGTTCAGTACAAGTAAACTAATAAATGTATTTTAAGTATCTGAATTTTGTCTTTCAAACAGGTTACGAAGTTCATGGGATAGAAAAAATACCGGAAGAAGGACCAGCGCTTATAATTTTTTATCATGGAGCTATTCCTATTGATTTTTACTACTTCATGGCTAAAATTTTTATCCTCAAAGGCAGAACCTGCCGAGTAGTAGCTGATCACTTTGTCTTTAAAATTCCAGGTAAAGTCACCAAAGATAGTGAAAGTGTTTAATTAACATGAACAAATTACATGGTAGTCTGTCTCTGAGGTCTAGTGCCGCTTGGGAAAGTTTTCTGTTATTTTAGGGTAACAAACTTAAAACTCTGATTTGAAAGCATCTCATTGACTTGTTTAGGCAGTCTAGCTAAATAAAAATATTGTGGCCAAAACTATGACTTACGTTTTTCCTTGTTGACAGGTGTTAAGTTTCATTTCATTTTTAAAGTTAAATCTGTCACCCTGTCTTCGTGGTGCTCTTGTTTGTGCTGCCCAGGCTGGCCCGGCGCTCTGGCTCAGGGCAGGCCCCGCCTTCTCTCCTGGTACCTGGACTGCCGACCCCTGCTCAGGCTCACACTTGGCTGTATTTTTGTGTTGCTAGTGCCCAGGGCCATGCACTTGAAGCAGTTTACCACTGAAACATGTCCTTAGACTCAGTGTTAAACAGAAACTCTTAAGTTTTGCAAGACATTATATAACTTGACATAGAAGATGATTGATTTCTCCTAACACGAATTCTTTTGTAGGGTATGTGATGATTTTTGTAGTTTAATTTTACTGTTAAGAGTTTCACAGCAATCAGTTTGATAGCAAATCAAAATAAAGGAAAAAATTAACCAGGTTATATTTCTACATAACTTTTAAACTGTTGCTAAAAGCTTTTAGCCTTTTAGAGAAACATTAGCTAGATGAATTCAAACCCAAGACAGTTTTTTAAAAAGCCTGTTTTGGATTAACTCACTGAGAATAAATCTATTTTCTTCTGCCACTAAATCAGTAGGAACATGCCAAGAAAGCTGGTAGTGTGTTCTTTGAAATAAGCAAACTGACCTATCAACAGACTCACATTGAGCCATGAACTGAATGATGTTGCACTTCGGTGCCCTTCAAAGGCTGTGCGCTGTGGTAGCATAGCGTATCCGCTTATGCTTTGCGAGTAAATTCAGTTGGCCGTAAGGCTTCCCCTCAAACGTGACACAACCACTTTACAGTGGACTTTTGTACCAGAGATCAGAAGAGCATCATTATAATCTTATTCTCACATAGCCACTTACCACTTCATTTTTAATTTGTACATTTTCAAGTATTTTGCAAACAACTTTGTGGATTTTTAAAAATGATTTTGTGTTAGCATTAACATTCCACTTATGTTTTATAAGGAATAGTTTTAGTATACAATTGAATTGTTTAACTTTTTCTTTTGGAATTAGGCTGCATTCCATTTGTTTCCTTTTTAGAAATAGTACTTCTTAGCATTGGCTTTTTGAAAAAAGTTTTGCTTTGTGATCCTTGTACCTTTTTTATTTTTAAGGGAGGGTCTGTAAAATATTCAGGGTCTTACTACTAGATCGGATTTAAAGTGATCCACCTGTGTTCAGCCTCCCAAGTGCTGAGATTACAGGCTTGTGCCACCACACCCGTCTCAATTGCTGCCTCAGTGCACCCCTGGGGCAGGGTGGGGCCAGCGTGGCAGGCTGGGGGATCGAAACCCCAGCCCCTGTGCCTGCTTTCAGGCACTTTAATCCACTGAGCTATTTGGTCTGCTTAATCCTTGAAACATTTTGATACTGATTTAGCTTAACTTTGTCACTGTTTTTGTAAGGTATAAAGTCTTTATATGTCTTGGTCAAAGAGAAATTTTGTATTTTATCTTAGTACTTTATGAAGTCCCTTTCATTCAGTTCATTGTGAGAATGCATTTAGTAAAATCAGTAAAAAAAACCTGCTTAAGCCTGAATGATAGTTGTACTTTTTGCTTCAGATCTTTCAACCCCTGAAAACTGTTGTAGTCTGCAGAGTTTTTAGTCGTCACTGTGCACTTCCAGGTCTTGGGAAGAGATGCACATATGCACATATGCTGTACTAACAGCCCTCTGCAGCTTCAGCCCAGGATTTGATTAAAGCATTTGCAGACAACATTGTGTCTTGCAGCCATAGATTGTAATTTGAAAGCTGTATAACATTAAGACTTGGAATTAGCTATTCTTCAATCAAACATCACTTTATTAAAAAGTCTTGGAGCCAGGGAGATGGCTCAGTGAAATAGCGCTTCCCTGGCAAGCGCAAGGGCCTGAGTTCAATCCCTGGTTCTGAAAAAAACAAAAAACAAACCTCTATTAAAATAAATAAATAAATAAAAAGTCTTAATGTCTGCTATTACTACCTTTTAAAAGTTTAATTGTAGGATTAGTGTTGTGTAACTTTTAATTTCAGTAGATTACAGTAGATTATCGTCTGGCCTGTTTTGGCTGGGCTAAGCATAGATTTGCATTCTCTTGAGTGATTCTTAGAGGATTAATGTGACATTAGATTTGTGTTTGCTGATAGGATATTCTGATTGCTGAAACAAGTACTTCGGAATATATTTGAACGTTGTACTAGGTCTATGTATGTGAGATTTCTGCCCTGCCACTGCTTAGCCGAGTGACTGTGCTCATGCTGCCTAACTTGAGGGCAAGATTGCCGCATAAAGTGGGGAGAAGAAGCCCTGCTTTCCAAGGTGGCTGAGAGCGTTAGCTGAGCTTCGCTGTGTGAAGTAGCCCACGAGGCAGTGATCGGTGGTAGGTGGCTAGTAGGAGGAGCTGGTACTTTACAAGTAGTGTAGTTTTATGTCAGGAGTTGTGTTATGAAATATGTTTGCTGAAACAAATATAATCATGTAGGTTGTGAGGAGTGTTGTTCTCAGAGGGTTGAACAAGAAGTATTTAAGATTTATTTTTGTAATTGTGTTTCTTTAGGGTTTAGTTTATTACTTGATGTATTCTGTGCTCTTCATGGACCACGAGAAAAATGTGTTGAAATTCTGAAGAGCGGTCACTTGTTGGCCATCTCACCAGGTGGCGTTCGAGAGGCCCTCATGAGCGACGAGACCTACAACGTCGTGTGGGGCAACCGCAAGGGCTTCGCTCAGGTTGCGCTCGATGCAGAAGCGGTGAGTTGTGTAGGTTAGTTCTTCCAGTAAGCTTAAGTAGGTGAAAAGTAAGTGCTTACTGAGCCCAAATATGTCAGAAAGACAACAATTGCAAGCTCTCGGTACAGAAGCATTCCTAGTGTGTGGGATTCGTAGTAGATAAAGCTTATCTGGAAATCTGGAAAATATTCAACAGAGTTTATTTTTTTAAAGGTGAAAATCCAGCATCTTTTCATGACATTTGTAATAGTGTACAGCTAACTTCTCCTGTCCTGCAGGTACACTTCTCTCCTAAGTATAGTCAGCTGGATTATATGTGTTTTAGTTCCTTGGGTACCTTTGATATGAATGGATTGATACCTTTCAGTGATGGTTTTGTTTCTTCATAGTTCTTTTTTTTTAATAATAAGCCCCAAGTGCTACATGATTTCTATCAGTCTTCATCAGTAAGTGGAGTAAGCTGTGTAATAGTAAAAGATAATAAAGATCCTGGTGTAGGTTAGATGTTTCTTAAAGACTTTCCAAATGAATTTGTCAATAAAGTGTACCTTTGTGGTGATTTACTGTAATTATTCTGCCTACTAAACAGTGCAAATGTCATCTTTTGTTTTTCTCTTAGAAAGCATTTTTCAGCATTTCGGTTTTTGTATTGTACTTTGTTCTATGAAACGGTTATCTGTTACTTAGGAAGTGTCTCTCCTTATGTTCTCTATTTTTATTTTAGGTTGTCTGAAAAAGAACTTGTACTTCACTGGTAGGGTCCAGCTGTGCTTTTTCCAGGCCTGTAAGGTGGAGGCTGCGGCCGGGGCTGGCGCCTCTCAGCTTTCGAGTGCTGGCTGATGCTGCCCAGGCACAGTCTGCATGCTTAGCTCATGCCCAGCCTTCAAGTGCAGACTGTTGATTACAAAAGGAAAGTTACAGACAGCACGTTCTAACCGAAAATATTACTTGAAGAGTAGATATATTTATATTTTAATTACAAAGCTTATGGCAGGCGTCAGGCACGTCTCTGTCCTGTATCTGCACGTGTACTACTTGCTGTAACTGCTGTGCCTTAGTAACGTCCTAGCGCGAGTGAACATCATTGGCCACGTGTTGAGGTAGTGTAGCAACGGAAGCACACTGTCGTGGCCGAGGCCTCATATTCAGAGTCTAGCGACAGTGACCAGCTTTGCAGAGGCCTTTAATGTTTGTTTTGTTGAATTGACGTTTTTAAAAACGTAAACTAAGTATAGTGAAAATGAGTCTTTTGAATTTAATTTTGTTAACAGTGTTGGTAAAAATTAAGACTAATCGTATTATTGAAGCAATAATAAACACTGAAAACCTAATTAAACTAAAAGCTAAAGAAGATTCACTGCTTACATTCATATTTTGAAAAAATTAACTTCTTAAGAGAATAAGAATAGATTTGAAATTACGTGTGTTTGTCATGGAATTCCAGTTTTTTATTCTTAAATTTGTAGTTTTAAGTAGCGTGTTGCTTAGAAGTTTGAGAGAAAAGATAATAAAGGAAGAACTCTTTGTAATCTTGAGTTTCTAAATAATCAGTTAAAATCTTGATATTTCAGTTATGCTTTTTGTATAAAACTTCAGAAAATTTAAGAAATGATGAAGGAAACTTTCAGGTGCAGCTTCATGTTGTAGCCCTCAGCAGTCTCCTCAGTACAGCACAGCCGCATTTTGTGGCACCTTTACTGGCTGACCGTGGGGGTCCTGTGCAGTCCCGTGAGGTGATGGAGGTTACAGATGGGGAGACTGAGGCACCAAGACATGGAGGGCTGGAAGGGATCTGGTCACGGCGAGGCAGCCGCAGAGCAGAGCACAGTTCAGGACTCGAGGCAGTGGCGCGTTGCTTCCCCTGACTGCGTTTCACAGTGAGTTTTTGGACATCTGAGGTGGATGTGGCCTTGCAGACGTGTGAGGGGGTCTTGCAGTGATGTGTGGTGCCGCTGTGCGTGACGCAGGGCCCCCCTGGACGTCCCTTAAGTGCCCTCACAAAGTCGTTCCAAGTTAGGAGTGAAACTTAAGACTCTTGTGAAGGATTAGCTACAGTTAGAGCGGGACGTCCGGGTGTGGCTCGGTGGTGGGAGGCTTGCTCCAGGTCACATGCTGGCGCTCAGTGCCCAGCATGCAGTGAGCAGTGGTGACATACTGACCTAAGTTAAAGAAAGGTCCGGAGGGCCGAGCCGTTCACAGAACACTGGTAGGAAATACGTATGGTCATTTGGGTGTGACAGGCTTTTTTTGTAGATAGTATGAGTCATTCTTACTCTGTAAATTGCTGAGCATTAGGGCTTTGAAGAATTTTTTAGGTAATTGAGTGTTTAAATGGGGAAAAATTATCCTTATTTGGAAAATAAATAAGAAATATAAAAGAAAATAGCATTTTGTTTCAGTAAATTGTGATTCTGTATTGTCTCAATCCATAAAAACTCACTGAGCTGAAGATAATTATTACTCCATTTTATCCCTAAAGACTCAGATGTGCAGTAGTTTGTCCAGTGCTTTTCATTTTTAATAGAAGCAGGACCCTAAGAATATGCTAATCGGATTGCCCAAGAATAGTTCTAAAGATGCCCGTTCTGCCTTACACATGCGCATGCATACACGCAGAGACACGTGCATATATGTAAAGAATTGCATTGTGGGTTACCTATGCAGCTCTTTTGTCTACGTAGTGTGTGCAGGGAAGGGCTTAAACAGTCGTACTGCCCCATCCAGCTGCAAAACTTAGGACGCATAGACCCTGGCTTAGCATGCGAGGTGGAGCCTGCCAGGGTGAGCTTCCTCCCAGCCTCTCAGTGAGTTCCACAGAGTTTCCTGTTCAGGGAGTGCTGTTGAATCTGAGTGACGTGTAGAGGTGTGGTCTTCTTGGACCCTTCTGGGATCACGGCAGTCAGTAGGCATAACTCAGCAGTGCTGGTCAGGGGAGGTGAAACTGAACCTCGGGAGTGAACGTTTTCTATTGTCTTGGATAGTTTAAGTTTTTGACTGAAGACATTTATCACTAAAACATTAGGATTTTACCACGTTTTTGGGGGTAAGATACTGGGAATCAAACTCATGACCTCACGCTTGCCAGGTCGGCCTTGTGCTGCTGAGCTGCATCCCCGGCTACATATTTTGTTTTGTTTTTTTAAACTCATGATTTCCTACTTTTTTTTTTTTTTCTTTTTTTAACAAATTAGTTCTGTGTACTATACTATCTTTGTTAGCCTTGTAACTTAATTCCGTAAGACTTTAAATTCTTAACCTAACTTTTTCTTTCTCCACTTCTCTCCTTATCTGGTTTTGAGGCCACTCTGGCTATTTCTACCCCTTGTGTTTAGAGAACACAAATTAATTAGAAGCGTTGCCTCTTTTTTCTCTTTTCACCCCTTCTTTAACTGACACATCACTCCACCTTCTTTTAACTCCTTACCAGTTTGATACACTGTCCTAGTGTTTGGGTTACAGCAGTGACCGGAGCGGTCCTCACAGCACAGTAGCTGTCTTCCTTTCTGCTCAGAGAACAGCTGCAGGGAGTGTCTTACAACTTTTCTTCAACTAGTGGTTGGTAGTTCTGGGCGAGGCCTTAACGCATTATGCACAAATCCGCACTTGTATTTGCTTTTTTTGATCTATGAATATCAATGAATTTTAAAAGTTAGCTTATTTAAATATGTCTCACACCCTGCTTGTTAGGGCAGTTCTTATATTAGGCATGTACTTACACTTTGTGTGACTAACATGGTACTCGACATACATAAATACGGTCTTATCCTAAAACGTTTCACGTAGTATACTTGTGTGTATATTGTGTCTATCTGCTTTGGTATTCTTGGTAGCATAACCTCCCTATGTGATACTTTATGCTATTTCATTATTTTATGATGTTAATGCTTTAATTATTAACATCACCTATGGAAAAAATAAAAAAAAAGATCATGACCTCATTAGTAAAATTCTTCTGAAATTAATGATGTGAGAGAATTCTTAAATATGTATTTTTCCATGTTTTCTTGGTAGTCCTACACTTTTCGTGAATATTGAGCATTTTATATGTACGCAGCCTACAAAAAAATGCTATTTTACTAATTTTATGAACAACATGATAGTATCTTGCCAAAATATGTTGCTTAAAGTTACATAACTTTCCCTTTAGAATTTGTCTTACAACTTCTCTTCAGTGAACATACTGTTCAGTAGCTCCCTAAAGCCAATGAAATTATGCTGTAACCTATGCTGAATTTTAAGGGTTTATGTAAAATGTTCATGAACTTAGTAAATATTATGTATTACCACAGGGGGGTAGTGTTTATATTTTTACAGTTTATATTTTTACAAATGATTAAATTGAATTTAGTCAAGTAAATCACACTAGTTATGTGTGCCTCTTTTTAAAATCTTTTTTTTTTTTATAATTTCAATCAAGCCTTCAAAAGTTTGCCTTAATTACTCAATAGTCATTGAATAGACTTATTTATTTACCTTTTTTAATTCAAATTCTTTCCTTCAGCCCATTATCCCTATGTTTACACAAAATATTCGAGAAGGATTTAGATCACTCGGAGGAACAAGTAAGTTGTGATTCATATGGTTTGTAATTAGAATAGATACTTAAAATATGTGGACTTTTGAACTCTGTAAGGAATTCTTTTGAATTAACTTTAGAAAATGGATACATTATTTAGATTTTATTATATAGTCTAAGCAGTAACTGGCTCTAAGTATGGCATTTCTTAGATATTATATTTTTGTTAAGCGTATATACAGTGTACATATGTGGGATCTTATTTGTAGAGGCCTTTTAAAGTTTCAAAGCAATTTAATTAATAGAGTAGTATTACTATAGTAGTAAGCCGTGTCGATGAGGTTTAGGAGAAACTTACGTGCCCTCTTCACCTCAACCCTGAAGTTCCAGCTTTGTAAAAGGATGACATTCTGTATTGAAGTAAGATTAACAACCTAAGCAGATGTCATTTGTTCCAGTTTATTTCTGCCACTTTAAGGGAAAAAAGTATATTTTATATCATAATATAAGTAATTGAAAAAAAATTAATCCACCTTTGATATACTGGTTCAAAAAAGCTTTTAATCCAGTTATAGAAACGATAAGAATTGATGTCTTTTCTTTGCAAGTGTCTCTGTTTTCTTCCTCCCACCTCTCTCTTTCCCTCCCTCCCTCTTCTCTCTCCCCCTCTCTCTTTCTTTGTCTTTTTAAGACAGGGTCTCACTATGCAGTTCAGCCTGGCATTAAGCTCACTTTGTAGCCCAGGCTGGCCTTGAACTCACAGTGATCCTCCTGCCTCAGCTGAGATTATAGGCATGCACCACCATGCCTGGCTGTTTTCTGATTTTGCAGTTTTCAGTGTAACCTTTATTGTATTCAATGAACTACTTTTTTATCCCTAGCACTGTTATTGTTAGTATTTGGATACCTGTACCAGTGAGTCCTATTTTGAAGAGCTTGAAGTTGCTCTTTAATGTGTAATGCTGCTATTTTGTTCATATTCCTTTATGCTTATTGTCTTAATTTTCCTCTTTTTTTAGTATTTGAAGTAGAAAGACAAACTATTACAGTGTTTAGCTTTTCTTGTAGAGTTGTTTCAAATTTTCCCTCAGCCTACCCCTTTATAATTTAAGTGGCAAACCAGAAATTATTCCAGAAATGTTTCCTTTAAGTTAATGTTAAGATTCCACGTGACCTGTCTTGGCCGTGCAGGTCTCAAGAGCTGATTGTATTTGAGTGTGCCTCGGGGAATGTGTTTTGCATTTGCGCACATTAACCTTGCTTTCCACTTTCAGTAACAGTGCATACCTCTGCAGTGTGGTCCTGTGGCTTAACCTTTTATGAATTAATTTAACAGTATTTTTAAAACTTAGCTATCAGTTTATTTTCTAACTATATTTAATCTTGCTAAATTTTAAGCTTGATCATTAATATTTTTGTTTTGATGTATTAGTTTTGTTTTTCCAGTTTACAATAATCTTTGTTAGTATTTAAATAGTTTATTGGTTCACTGTAGTCTCAGACTTATCTAAACTTATTTATGCCCCCTCCCTTGTCTTTTTTTTTTTTTAATTATTATTTCTTTGGTTCAGGGTCTCACTATGCAGCTCAGCCTCATAGTGAGCCTCCTGTCTCAGCCTCCCCAGCACTGGGATTACAGGCGTGCAGCGCCACACCTGGCTTTGGTGGCCGGCTCAGTGCAGGGCTGGCCTGGCATGCAGCCCCGGTATTGAACCTGGGTCCTTGTGCTGGCCTGACGGGTGCTTAGACCGCCAAGCTGTCTCCCTGGCCCCCTGGTCGTTTAGGTCACTTATTTTGAGTCTAAATATTTATCTTCTAGCATTTGGTTGCAGTCTTTACTCTTTGGTAATAATAATTGTCTTTACAAATTCTTGTATTTACAATCCTTTTTTAAGCTAATACATTTTAAATTAAAAAAATG